TACCTAACTAAATTAATGCTATTCAATCTCTTAAAAGCACTATATTGATTGCAAAGTAAAAGAGAAATGTTCAAACTCTACTGCTTTAGCTTGAGACTTCTAGTCATCCAATGTCTACTACAAAATGACAAACTGTCTCAAACACACAAGAAATGTGGAACTTACATGTTTTCTAAGCATTTTCCCCACAGAGATTGCTTTTGATAATACACTATGATTAGTTTCAGATTGTGGTCCCTCAAGATTCTATACTATAGCCTTAGCTAAAATGTTTAAGATTAATTTCATCACCTGTAAAGTTTGGATAAAATTATTGTATCATACCATAAAGACTAAATGAGTTAAAGATGGGCTGCTTACTGAAAAGCTTTAATACTAAGTAATCATTTAATCATTACTGTGATCATTTGAAACAATATTCTGGATATATTGTTTACCATCACTTTCTTGGTTTTTAAAAGTATTTAACAATGGACTGATGAAACTAAGTTGTTTGTATCAAAATTTTTTACTCTTAAAAAACACAGAAGGTAATTTTTTTTTTCAAATTTGACTTTGCAAAGCTTTCTCTTAATGTTAGATTTAATGATTCTGGTAAACATAAACCTTCTGTGTGAAATATGGTACTTACTTTTAATCATGGTTTGTCTCCTGCTGCTACGTAGCATTTTATAAACTGAACACATCTTTAAAAGACACACACACACACACACACACACACACACACATGTAACCAAAAAACCTCCAAGGTTTAAAACACATTTTCCGAATAATTACGGATGCACTGAAAAAGTATTCAGTCTTGACTGGAAGAAGTGGTCCCTTCAAGACAAGATGGTCAATGTTTTATGGAAAAATAATCTCTCTATAGGACTACCTCAAATCTTTACTTATTTTAAAAACTTGTGGCAACATCTGTCATTTCAGTACATGGTCATGTTTACATAGATGTCCGAATGTAAAACAAGTCTAGCTATGCCGACACCAAACTCAAATAAAAGTCTACATGCTTGGAAAAGTATCATTTTGCAGATTTCTCAAAATTATTTATTTCTCTTACCTACAAAAGCACCACTGTTAATTTATTCCGCTAAATTGTATTTGTACTGAAAATAAAGTGATGTATTTATTGTACATTAAATATGAATACTTAATTTAACAACTCTCAGACTTGTTTATGATAATCTCTCAAAGAGAAAAGCAGCCTAACACTTAGAAAAGGCTGCTCAACCCAAGGAGGAAGAGAAGCTTAGGTGGGAAGGAAACAAACCCCTTCTGGATCTCCAAGTACTTATCTAAATGGCTTGCTTATACTCTGCTTAGAATTCCTAATCACAGTCAAGGCTCAGTAAATATTAGGTCTTAGAGCCAGAGGCAACTATACAGACATTTCTTAACAAATGGGACTGATAAAACCAGCTTAGAGTAGTTTGATCACACTAAAATAGCTAGAAAAATATGCATATGTAACTTTTAGACACTAATAACATTATCACTGGACTGTACTTCTGAAGAGATAGAGACAAATGAGGCACGACCACCTTACTGCTTGAATAAAGCTGCTCAGCTCCAGCAGTGAAAGGGCATCTGAACAAAACTTGAAGTCATGCCGAGCTGAGGACTTAAACAGGGAGTCTGGTGAGACTGAGGGGCCTAGAATCTGCAAAGCAGAGGAAAACAGGGGAGAAGTTTGCAGAGACATGCAGAACTCCTGAGTCTTGGCTGGATCACTGACTTGAGCACCAGGGAAAGGAAACGAGCCAAAGCGTGGGAAAGAACCACCAACAAGTAGTGAGATGAACAACTTCAGAGTTCACACAGGCTCAGGAATAGTTTGAGGTGTCACAGTCAGAGTGGGCAGAGTTTGTGACACAGGAACATCTAGTAGTCTGAAGATGAGCGATGGTGCCTTCCTAATGAGACTAAGACAGTCCTTGAGGAGAAGCTGCTCCGGATCCAAGATAGCAAAAGATACAGGCAAGCACCTAAAGGATTTCATTAATCATCAAGATCCTGACCTAGGGACCGGAAGAATATCCAACATTTTAAAAAGAAATTTGAGGCTTTCCAAATGAAAACCTTACAATGTGTGACATTGAAAATAAAGACGACTAGGAATAAAAAAATAAAAGGAAATCATGGACTGTAGAATTAACTAATAAAGGGGAAAAAATCAACCACTGTTTAACAGCCCTGGAAATGACAGAGGAAGGGATCTGAAGACTTTAAAATAGGAATTAAAAATATAATAAATGTACTCAAGGACATTAAGAATACATGAACTTCAGCCTGGGATTTAGCTCAGTGTTTCCACCGCCTGCTTCACAAGCACAAGGTCCTGAGTTCAATCCCTGGTACCACAAAAAAAAAAAAGAATACATGAACTAAGGAGGGAAATGGAAGATAAAAAACAGATTCCACACATATCTCCAAAGTAATATTACATGTATGAAATGAAAATTACTGTAGTAAATTCAAACAAAAATTATTAAAACAAAGTACTAAAAGGACAAGGAAGAGTTGGCCCTTTGGAATAGTATAAAGACTTCTAACTCACAGGAAACAAGTTTCAGGAAACAAGTCTCAGGAAAAAAGGTGGGTGCTTTAACAAATAATGGCTGAAAACCTTCCAAAATTGGAGAAAATATAAACAAACCAGTAGATCCAAGAAACTCAAAAACAAGACAAAACAGACAACCTAATGAAAAGTATAATGGCGTACCCTATATGATACAAACTTGCTGGACACCAGAGATAAAGAACAATCCTCAAAGCTTGGGAACAGTAGAACAAAGTTAGGAATGAAAAGAAGACTTCTGGTCTGAAATCGCACAGGACAATGAAGAATGGAGCGACATTTTTAAATTACTGAAAGCAAAAAGAAAGAGCAACTGTCCCAAAATTTGAGACTCACTGAGCACAAATGTTTAAATTAAGGTAAAACATGCAGACTTTCTCAGACTGATAAAACATGACACAATGTCTTACAAGCAAGAAGATAAATGTAAAAAGCATGTTTGTGTTTAAAGAAAAATATTAGCAATATGTTATTGTTAGTTTTATGAGGTTTACACAATTAAAAAGAGTGACAAAGCACAAAGCGTAGGGAGAAAGAAAGAAAAACAACAATTATAAAGATGTCAACCTATATGCAAAGTGGTATAATTTGAAGTTAGGCTGAGATAATTTAAATAAGCAGTAAATCCTACAACCACTACTAACACAAATAAAGAGGTACAGCTAATAATAAATAAAGAGAAACAGAACAATAAAAGATAATCACAAACAAGGAAAAGAGGAAAGATGAACAGATGCAATAAATAAAAAAAAAACAGCAAAATGGCAGATGTAAAGTTGAGTGTATCAATTATTATTATAAGTATAATCAGTCTACACACTGTAATTAAAAAGCAAAGATTCTAGAGCCCACCAATATACCACACAAAAGAAGACATTTTCAAGGACAAAATTATAGATTAATAAATGTTGGAGAAAATGTTCCATAGCATGCAAAATCTAAGAAGAAGCTAAGTGGCTATAGGAATTTTAGAATAAGTAATCTTTAAGAATGTGACTAGGGGGCTGGGGATTTAGCTCAGCGGTTCGGTGGCCTGCCTGGCAAGCGCAAGGACCCGAGTTCAATCCCCAATACCAAAATAAATAAATAAATAAATAAATAAAAAAGAATGTGACTAGGTGTAAGGAGGGTCCTTTTATAACGACAAAAGGATCGATTTGTCAAGAGGATGTAAAATACTTAGCTGGCAGGAAAGCAGATCTGTAAAGACGTGTTGGAAATTTCTAGTAAACATATACTTAGCATATACCCTAACATCACATTCCCTCACTACTATGTAACTACTGAAAAGAGTCAAAAACTTAGGCACACACACACACACCCACACATATGGGTGTGTGTGTTCAAATCAGCTTCATGTTATAGTAGTCAAAAAGCTAGAAGCAACCCAAAGGGCTAGCTGGTGAGTGGATGAACTGGGCTGCTGAAACAGTAGGATGCCACGTAACACTAAAGAGGGACAAGCTCATGGTTCACACAGTGCACAACATCATAGCTGACTCTGCAAAGAGCAAACCCAACTGAAACATTATTGTACATAAATTCCACTTATTGCATTTCTAGAAAGGGTAAGAATATAGAATCCAAAGACAAAAAAAGTCCTTGTCATCGGTTGGCATTAGAGGAAAAAGAATTAACTACAAAAGGTACCACAGAACATTTTCCAGATATGGCAATGCTATTTATCTTGATTGTGATGGTGGTTATATAAATATGTGTGGTTGTTGTTTTTTTTTTCAACACTCAAACTATACCTTTTACATTGTTGAATTTTAGCTTAAGCAAATTATTATTAGAAATCATGCATTTCCCTGTATATTAGAAAAGCTGAATAATCTGCCCAGGCTGAAGTGATTTGGAAATTGTAGCAAGTTGGGGATAGAAATTAAAGAAGTTGAAACCTTTTAGGGTCCTCTCAATGCCTGCCTTGAAGAGAGAAGTAAACTCTCCCAGTGGTAAGCAATCTATTCATGTATTTTTACATCTGTCCTGAAGCAGGAGTGAAGGGTAAAACAGTTCCTTTGAAACTAGGAACTTGGAAGAACTTGCTAAAAACAAAAACAAAAACCCAGCCCTAGGATACTTAGAATTGCCCTAACCAACCAGAAATTATGAAGGTAATTAACTAAGGCCTGAAAGGTTGTACTGGACTCCTTTAGAAGTGCATGCCTGTAATCGCAGCACAGGATTCCTTCAATGTCCCGATACCAACTGGACCCTTCTCTCCTACCTACCACCCCAGGCAAATTTAGATTTAGAGGCTTGCTCAAACTTGAAGAATACTTCTTTCAATATATTTATATATCATATATTTATTTCGAATTTTTCTTCATCCTTGATTTTATTTCAGAAAAATTCACTTCAATATCTGTGCCTAAAGATGAAATAGATGAAACCGCAAATGACAACAAGTGATGCTTACTCTTCTTTCCATCCATATCTGCGTGGATTTTCCGAGCCAAGAACCCGCTTTTGTACACAGCAGCATTTGGGTCATGAGGAATGTCCAGAAACGGGTTAGTGGTGCTCCCGATGCGACTGATGGTCTTTGGGTGTGTTCCATTTGCCTTCTCATCAGTACCTTCTGAGGGAGATTTTTTTTTCTCTTCATCATCTCTGAAAGAAAGACGACACAAAGACTGAGCCAGGAATCTACCACAATACCCACTGGGAAAAAACCGGAGGATGACTCTTCTGCTTTGTAGTGGCCAATCAGTCTTCTCAACAACCACCATAACCATAGCTACCATCACTGAGCGTCCCTTATGCACCAGGTATTAATGATCATGATAATCTTGCAAGACCAAAATTAGTATTTGATGTTATACATAAGAAGACAGTGGGTTCAACAAATGTATCCCCAAGACCAAATAGAAAAGAAAAAAAGATAAGAAAGGTAATGATCATCACATCTCTGAAGTCTTTTCTCTATTTGCATGGTATTAATAATGCTTTCATGTTTGTTTCTTTTCCAACATCTTTTTGACAGGGATTATGATTTTTGAATTTTGTAGTTTTGCAGGGCCTAGCATAGTGGCTCACATATAGAAAACAACAAAAGAATTACAGATTGAGCCCAGTGAATAACTATGTCTGCCAAATAACCAGGCTAGTTCCTAGTATCAAAGCTCCAGGTGAAGCTGCCAGTAGACTAGGACAATAGGGCCACTCACAATGCTTTGGCATCTTATATGTGCTACTTATTGCAACCATGAAGGTTTGGGGCATTTATTAGCCGCTAAGAGAAGCCCTATTTGGGCTCCGGATTTGGCTCAGGGGTTCCGCAGCCTGCTTCGCAAGTGCAAGAACCAGAGTTCAATCCCTGGTACCCACCCCGCAAAAAAGAGAAGCCCTATTTGCTTTCCTAAGTCACTGTTCATCAACAACAGCAAATTTAAATCTGAAATCATAACATACAATAAGCACAGATGCAGAAGACGGATGGTTGCATTAGTTTAGTAAAAGGGAGGGAGCAGTGGAAGAAATCTAACAAGATCTACTATATGGTTGAAAAATAAAACATCATAATAAAAGCATTTGTCTTAGCTGCTTCAATTTCCAGATTTAAAAAAAAATTAAACTCTTGTCTGTATTTTTAAATTGAATTTAGATTACTGAATCTTTTATTAAAATTTCAAAATAACCAGCAAAATATATTTTTAAATAAATCATAAAGTAAATAAATCATTTAAAAGCTTGTTTAAGAATGGTGGTAATCATAGAAAAATAGCCTTTTTGCTCCACTGGTATTTTATAAATAAATGTGAGAGCTAGGAAAGTAAAACTGACCTTTTAAACATCTAAATTTTACTTTTATTGTACAACCATTTTAAGCTTAAAAGATAGTACACTGTGTTTCCATATGCCCAGCTTCTCCTGTTACAATTTTCTGTAACTGCAATACATTTTCTAAACTAAGAAATTAACTTTAGTAAAATACTATGAATTAATCTGAGATTTTTTTTAGTATTCCCCAGCTTTCTAAAACTAATTATTTTTCTATTTTAGAACCATATCAATGACCTCACAGTGCATTTACTCGTCAGGTCTTCTGGTCTATAATAGTCCTGTGTGGCCTGGACATTTTGAAGACCACTGGTTAATGGTTTTGCAGGTTATCTTCAGCTGAGGCTTGTCTTCTGCTTTCTCGTGCCTAGAAGATGGCTCAATTTTGGGCACACAACATAGATGATGTTACCTATCTTGATGCACCAGATTGAAGTGTTGTAGGTTTGCAGCAATATTCACCATGATTACTTGGTTAAGGTAGCCTCTGAAAGGATTTTATTCTACAAACTTACTATTTTCTTTTGTAAATGTTTTTGGGGAGATGTTTTGTTAACTATAAAAGCACCTTCTTTCTTCTTTTTTTACCCACTAACATTAGTATTCATAAATGGATCTTTGCCTATAAAATAAAATCATTTATTTTAAATTCTTCTCTAAATATGTAAATGTGGATATTTACAGCACTTTTTGGTCTTCTCCTAGCACCCACATACTTAAGTGTCTTCCATGACCATAATATCTTGTCTTTCCTAGAAGGCCACAGCAATGGCTACTTTCATTTTACAAAACACATTTAAAATTCATCCATATTGTCATATGAATCAATAGTTTGTTCTCTATGATTGTGTAGCACTATTTCATTTTATGAATACACAAGTTTTTCACCTAGTTTCTAGTTTTATACTTTTAAAGTAAAGAACGATCTGTGCTTGCAAACACCATCTGACAACAATATCAAGTATATTACAATAAATCTTTCACAGATTGGAATCAACCCATTCCAGAAAGGAGATTTCTACCTCTCTAATAATTTATTCTAATGTTATCAGTAAGTTTCATACTGTTCTATCCCCCAGCCAACATCATATTCAGTTGAAAGATTCCCTTCCAAGATCAGCAACAGCCAAGAGATGACAACACATTGTACTTCTACTCTACTGTACTTGTACTTCTACTATATTGGACTGGAAGTCCTACTTAGAGCAGTCAGAACAAAAAGGTATCCAATCCAATGAGGAAAAGAAGAAAAACTGTGTCAATATGCTGATGATAGGGTCTTACATACAGAAAATCCTAAGGACTTCACCACAAAACATAGACCTGATGAATTCAGTAAAGCTGCAGGTTACAAAATCAACAGACAAAAATTGGTAGTGTTTCTACATAGTAATAACAAACATTTTTAAAAAGACATTCAGAAAACAATTCCTTTTACAATAACATCCAAAAAGTTAATCAGGAATAAATTTGACCGAGGAGGTGAAAGAGCTGTACACTGAAAACAATGAAAGGAACTGAAGACAACATGATCAATGTTCATGTACTGGACACAAATTAACATTGCAATATCCATTCTACCAAAGTGGGCTTAGAGATTCAATGCAAATACCATCAAAATTTCAATGCTATTTACCAGAGAAGTAGAAAAATAATCCTAAAATTCCTATGAAACCAGAAAAGACTCTAGATAGACAAGTCAGAGTGGAAAGAACAAAGCTGTAGGTACCATACTCCCAGAACTGAAAACAGTCATCCTTTAGTAGCAGGGGGGAGTTGTTCCAGGACTCCCCATGGACACCAAAATCTGCAGATGCTCAAGTTCCTCATATTAAATGGTACAGTATTTGTATATAGCCTATGCACAGCCTCCTGTGTACTTTACATCATCTCTGTATTACTTACATGAATGTAACGTAAATTCTATGTAAACAGCTGTTATACTGCATTGTTAGGGGGTAACAAAAAAAATCTGTACATGTCCAAAACATACATAGCTTCTTTTAAAATTTCCACTCTGGGTTTGGCTGAATCTACAGATGCCAAATCTATAGCTATGTAAGGGTGACTGTATACTATAAAGTTGTTGTGATCAAAACAGTAATGATAATAAAGACAGAAGCACTGTGTCAGTCAACCTTGGCTCTCAACTTGAGATTAAGAGACTCTTGGAGAGGTGACTGGACTGGGAGAGCACGAACTTCGTCAATAAGATGAATGGGCTAGTATGAGGTGGGGCCCAGATGGAGGGAGAGGGTCATGAAGGTGTCAGTTTGGGGACTAGATCTGGCTCCTGTAAGAGTTCTTCCTCCTCTCTACTTTGCAGATACCATATGTTATGCAGCTTCCTCTGCCACACCTCCCCACCATGGGATTCCATCTGAGAGCCAGTGGACCACGGACTGAAGACTCTGAAACCATGGGCCAAAATAAAAAATCTCTCCCCTAGTTTTATCCCAGTAACAGGAAAGCTGACCAATATACACACTAAAAAATGGAACAGGACAGAGAGCCCACAAATAAATCCAAATATTTCTACTCCATTTGTTTTTGACAAAATGCCAAAACACACAATGGAGCAAGGACAGTCTACTAAAAATGATGATGGGAGAATTGAATACTGAAACACAATAATTAAACTGGACCCTACCTAACAGCATACACAAAATTCAACTCAAAATAGGTAAAAACTTAAATGCAAGGCCTAAAACTGTAAAAGCAGAGGAAGAAAACAGAGGAAGAAAAACTCCCCAACATTGGTCTAGGCAATTTTTTTAATACAGGACTGTAAAACAAACATAGAAAGCAAACACAAATACAGACAAATGGGATTCTATCAAACTAAAAAGCACAGAAAACACTTAAGAGTGAAGAGATGACCTCTGAAATGGAAGAAAATATTTGCAAGTGACACATCTAAAAGGGACTGCTATCTGTATGTAAAATAATTCATTAGCAGGAAAATAATCTGATTCAAAAATCTGCAGAGAGCATTTTTCAAAAGAGATACAAATGGCTAATAGATATGTGACAAAAATGTTCAACATCTCTGCCCATTAGAGAATTACAAATTACAACAATCCTGAAATTCCATCTTATTCCAGAAAGAATAGTTATCATCAAAGAATCAAATAATAAATGCTGGTGACGCTGCAGGGAAAAAGGAACCCTTCTCTATTATTGGTAGGCATGTAAACTAGTACAATCACTATGGAAATTCCTCAAAAAAAACTAATCACAGAATTTCTACTCAACCCTTCTAGTGCCCTTCCCCAAAGAGTGAAAGACATCATATTATAGCGACATATGTATACCTGTGTCTATACCAGCACAGTTCATAATAGCTAAATCTTTTTTTTTTTTTTTGGTACCCGCGATTGAACTCAGATCCCTGCACTTGCGAGGCAGGCCACCGACCCGCTGAGCTAAATCCCCGGCCCTAGCTAAATCTTTTTTTTCTTTTTATTGAGTTTATTGGTACATTCTAGGTATACAGTACAGTTACATTCATTACTGGGCTCTTGTAACTTTACATGACAGGTCTTGGAATAGCTAAATCTTTGAAGCAGTCTGTGTCCATGAACAGACAGACAGTGGTTATATAGACATAAAAGAGTTTATCTCCACTGAAAAGGAGATAAACTTCAGTCATTTTTAGAACAGATGCGCCACGAGACCATAACATTAAGTGAAGTAAGTCAGATACACAAGTTCAAATATCACATGGTTTCTCTTATACGAACAACCCAAAATATAAATAAAGAGTGAAATAATTAATAGGTAACAGGAAAAAGAGAGATAAATCTTTTCCAAAAGAGAAGGGGACCAAG